AAAAAAAGAAAAATCCAACTCCAAAAAATATTCATGATTTTTCGGCGGCCCGCAAGGTATTTAAGGATACCTCCATGAAAAAATATTATTCTTATGTCAATAAATTATCAAATGACATGAGAGCTAACCCCAAGCGATTTTGTAGCTGGATTAAACCGCGCTATAAAATTAGAGATAAATCGAATATTATTCGCCATGGGGACATATTTGCATCTACACCAGGGGAGAAAGCTAAGGTTTTTAATGATTATTTTAACTCGGTATTTAAGGTACATAACTTTAATTCCGTCTATCCCCATCTCCCACAATATCCTCTCGATAACCTTTCAACATTTCAAATTGATAAAAATAAAATTGAGATGCTTCTAAGTCAAATTGAGATGCTTCTAAGTCAAATTGATACGAGTAAATCATCGGGTAGTGACAATATTAGTAATGTTATTCTAAAAATTGGTACAACTCCTCTTTCTAGGTCATTACATATTCTTTTCAATTGGGCAATACGTGGGGGCACGTTCCCACAAGCATGGAAAATGGCTAATATATGTCCCATACATAAAAATGGTAGAAAAGAAAATGTCACTAATTACCGCCCAATATCTATATTACCAACTGTAGTGGTATCTAGCCAGATAACACTGAGGGCGCCAAACTATTACACGCAAAGTAGGATACGAGACGAGTTCCTGTAGTTTGTCAGACTAATTTATTTCGTCACTTCGCACCGACCTGGTGACTGAATATAAATGTAAAAAATATAAGATACAATACAATAATAATAATATTAAAAACAGATCATCAATACAACCTCAATCAATAATAATACTGTACTTTCAATAAAATCTTCACTGAGAAACTATATCATGTAAAGAGACTAAACTCTAAACATCAAGTACATACATAAGTTAGTCAGTTACATTTAAGTCATGAAAAGTAACTTCATAATTAATACAATCCATAATAAACATGTTAGAGTACACAAGTAATGCATAATTCACAATATGCTGCATTAGTGTAGAAACATAGAAATTAAAGCATAAGTTATAAAGCTAACTTAATGTTAAAATCATAGCAATTAACCGTGAACATTAATCAGAATGTAATAATATACTTAGCAATGATACATAAAACATTGGTCAATGAGCTTACATAAATTATGGCGCAATACAACTGCACACTGAAGCTAGCATCAATACACAGATCTTTCATCAAATGCTATCCTTATCATCAGGATTACAACCGCAATCAGGTAAGATAATACTGTAAACAAATCGTCATTTAAATCAGTGATTTAAATAGTATTAAACTATATCATATGAATAATCATGCTATAATAAAACGGTAATGTTGTAGTGTATTACACAAAATAATAAATTCACACAAAGGAATTACTGTACCAAGATTTAACATCCATCAGCTATACAATACTATAGATTGTAGTAAATGTTATATAACTATGTAAGCTTTAAATACTTAATAACATCATTCAGAAACTATATTATATATTGAATTTACCTCTAAACATTATAATACTGCATAATCATTGTATACGGTATATAGCCACGTATTGTACTATAATAAGAAATAGGCCTAAACCAATATCAGACGTACATCACACCTGCCAAGGTACTGTTTGCCCGGCGGTGAAGAAAAGAACTTAGGCCTAGGCTATAAATTAATAGCAGTATTTCACAATATAATCTATAAACTTGCATTTATCAAGCATTAAATCACAACATGGCAAGTCTATGTAACAATATAAAACAATCTGATCATCTTAATATAAGAAAATATAGAAACATACCCATAATATACAGGATTCAAAAACTCAATGAGTAGCCACACGTGTTTTTACCTTCAACCGGTACATGCTACTGAATTTAAAACCCACGCGCAAAGGCGAACAGAGGAAAGCTACCCCATAATGCAACGTACAGAAAACATAAACAAGATAATAAAATCGCAAGAGGGCGCTACATACAAAGTGCGATAATGAGATCGATAACACTCCCCCTGTAAATTCATAAACTATTTGAATTTACACATTAACTGCCTTAGCAATTGCTTCCCTATGAACAATACATAATTTTGCAATAGGTCGCTTCAGGATGTTATTGTTCACCTTCACGTCGACACTTCTAACTTTACCGTCACTACTGGTTCGCACCGCAAGCACTCTGCCCATTGGCCATTTCCCACGCGGAGTTGTTTCATCGACGAGGAGGACTATGTCGTTGATCATTACATTATCTTTAGGCGTCGTCCATTTATGTCTTTGTTGTAATAACGGTAGATACTCCTTTCTCCATCTAGTCCAGAACAGCGATGCAAGATACTGGACCTGCAGCCATCTTTTTTTCCCATATGAGACAGATTTGTCTAAGCCAATATTTATAGGTGCATCAGGCCCTTTCCTAAGAAGGAGAAGATGATTGGGTGTTAAGGGTTCTTCGTCCCTGGGGTCTTGAGAAATATCAGTTAATGGTCTTGAGTTCAGGATTGACTCAACTTCTGTCAGGACAGTCGTCAGCACTTCTTCACTCACGGTCTGTTGTCTTAGCACACCATTCATGATTTTGCGCACTGACTTGATTAGGCGTTCCCAAGCGTCTCCGAAATGACTAGCATTAGCTGGATTAAATTTCCACTCAAACCCTCTAGTATGACAAAAATCTTCAATCTGATCTGTCTTCATCTTCTTGATCGCCTCTTTTAGTTCTCTTTCTCCTCCATGAAAATTGGTTCCATTGTCACTTAAGAACTTCTTTGGTTGCCCTCTTCTTGCAATAAATCTTCTCAGTGCATTGATAAATGAGTTTGTTTCAAGACTACTTGCTAACTCTAGATGAACAGCTCGGCTCACGAGGCAAGTGAAGATGCAGCCGTATCGTTTAACTGTGCTCCTACCTTGCTTTACATTAAACGGCCCGAAAAAATCTACACCAACATTCGTGAATGGAGGTTTGTCGCTGTCAAGTCTCTCAGCGGGTAAGTTGGCCATTAGTTGTTGGGCTGGTCTTGCTCCATACTTCTTACATATAACACAGTGACTCAGTGCACTCTTCACTGCAGTTCGGCCCTTCAGCAACCAAAATCTTTGACGTAGCGCATTTAGAGTCGACATCCACCCACTGTGACCTACAGCTTCATGATAATGGCGAATAATGAGGTTAGTAACATTAGTATATGCTGGAAGAATGATAGGATGTCTTATAGCATCATCTACTCTTGCCTGATCAATTCTACCGCCTACCCTGAGTAGATGTCCCATTAACACTGGCTGAAATTTCTTCAATCGTTGATCAGCTTGCCATTTCTTGAATTCCGATTTCTGAATCCATGCGATGATTCCGCTTTCACTACCCTCAATCTCTGCTACGGTTAAACTTGTCATGTTTGAGTTTGTAGCCCCTTTTGCTCTTACAATAAATCGCCGAACATACGCATATACTCTAACGAGTTTGGTCCAAGAAGAAATCTTACTTGACAACTCTTCTAGTACTAAGTTCCTTTGGATATTGACTCTTACCGCTTGTGTGAAGACGTTCACCTTTACTTCAGGGTCAGTTGATTGAGTCTCTGCATGTCTATTAACAGGCCAGTTCGCTTCGTCTTTGCGTAGAAAGTCAGGACCGATGATCCAACTCTTCAGTAGCAGAGTCCCCCTCGATCCTTCATCGGCAGGATTGACTTCAGTCGGAACATGTCGCCACTGATCAGGGTTTGACGACTCTCGAATACACGTTACACGATTTGCTACGAACGTCTTGAAGCGTTTATTCTCATTGGCGATATAACCAAGTACAATCATTGAGTCGCTCCAAAAGACGGTAGGTTCAAATTTGAAGCGAGCGTTAATTTCCCGCTTTATCATGCCTTCTAATTTCACGGCCAATACAGCAGCTAGCAATTCCAGACGAGGAATGGAAACCTTCTTAAGTGGAGTCACCTTCGCCTTACCCATAACAAACACAACATTTACCTCATTATCACTAGAGACAGTTCGGCAATAGGCGCATGCTGCATATCCTCTCTCAGATGCATCGCAGAAGATGTGTAGGGTGGTCTTGACTGCTTGTTCTAGCATCATCCATCTAGGTACTCGAACATTGACTAAGTTAGGGACGTTAGCTAACCATTCTTTCCAGACCTTTACCTCAGAATCGTCTAATACTTCATCCCAATCAGATCCTCTTCGACAAACAGTTTGGAGTAAGGATTTAGCATAAAGAACGAAAGGAGCTGCGAATCCTAGCGGATCGTAGATGGAACTGGTCACCGACAACAGACCTCGTCTAGTCATGGGCTTAGATGTTACATCAACCTCAAACTTAAACACGTCAAGTTCAGCATCCCAGGACACACCCAGCGTTCGTTCAGTTGGTAGTTCGTCCAGATTCAGCGATACAGAAGGAGCTCTCTCGGACTCGGGAATGCTATCGAGAACCTCACGAGCGTTGCTGATCCACTTCGTTAATCTAAAACCTCCCTTTGCTAGAACTGACCTAAGTCGTTGTGCTAGTTCTACTGCAGATTTTGTGTCATTCGTGGAAGTCAGGCAGTCGTCTACATAGAAACTATGTCGGATGGCGTCTATCGTTCGTTTTCCAACTTCATCTGCATTGTCATGTTCGTTGTCTTCAGCAGTTCGCTTCAAGGCATAGCCAGCGCAGGAAGGTGATGAGGTCGCACCGAACAGATGCACTGCCATTCTAAACATTTTAACAGGCTTACTTGTGTCTCCACCTTCCCACCACAAGAAACGAAGGACATCTCGGTCGCTTGGTATGACTTTCACCTGGTGGAACATTGCTTCTATATGCAATTCTCTCTTGCCTAAACCTTAACAGCACTCCAACTAAGTTACTAATGACATCTGGACCCTTTAGCAGCTGGTCATTCAAGGAGGTATTCTGCCATTTAGCCGCACAGTCAAACACCACTCTCACTTTACCAGGTTTACGAGGATGAATCACTGGATGATGCGGCAGGTACCATTCATTACCATCGTCTCCCGCCCCTTCTACTGGTTCTGCATACCCCTTTGAAATGTAGGACTCTACCGTCTCAGCGTATTTCTTTTGCAACTCTGGATCTTTATGTAGCTTGCGTTCGAGACAGGACAATCGGATTTTTGCTAATGGTTTGTTACATGGTAGTTTATGGTTGTCACTTTTCCACAAGAGGCCCATCTGATAGTTATTGGTGTTGGTTTGCGATGCTGTGGAAGACATGATTTGCTTTGCTCGCTTGTCTTCGATCGAGTCTTCATCTACTTCAAACCCATTGTCTACAATCCAAGTTTTCTTAAGTTGTTCTAGTAACTGTTCATTAGTAATAGATATTCTGTGGCAAATGGATCGCGTCTTAGTTTCAAGTCCTGGTCCCATCACACACCAGCCTAGAGGTGTTTTTATGGCATATGGATCTTTAGGTTGGTTTCTCCTCTCATCAATGACCCAAAATGCTTCAGGATTATCAGCACCTATAAGAAGATCAACCTTCAAATTTTTGTTATCACTCACCGGCAGATCACTTAGATGATCCCATTTCTGAAGTTCGTCTTTAGTGGGAGCAGCATCAGAACTGGATGGTATGTTGTCAACAGTGAGTACCTTGGTAGCAATTTCTTTCTCTTCACGCATACCCTTTACATTCAGTTCGATAGTTAGACCATCTTTAGTTTCTTCCCCATTGATTGTCACCGACGTATACGTCACTCTCTGGCCACTTACTCCAAGTTTACGTCTGAGGCTGTCGCTACACAAACTGCTGTCAGATCCATTGTCCAATAGAGCTAAAGTGGTAACTTGATTGCCATTACTAGCTCTTACCTGTACAGGAACTACCATCAGATAGACGTTCCTGCCACTCATCGCCGCACGAGATGTTACGACTGGAGGCTGTTCTGTTGGATGAAGTAGCTCATGATGCTTCATAGAATCACACTTGCTACATTTCAACTGATCACGACGACATCGATGTACAGAATGACTAATCACTAAACACCTGTAACACAGTCTCTTCTCTTTGACTACCTTCAATCGTTCATCATAATTCATATGTAGAAACTTAATACAAGAAGTCAACATATGCTCTTCATTGCAATAAAAACATTGTAACTTTCTTCTAGTCTTTATATTGTTGGCTTTGACCTTAGGTCGTTCATTTGTACTGCTACCGATACTAACGTTACTACTCTTGCCAATACTACGGCCAAACATATTGCATGATACTTCTGCCTTCTTTTCAAGGAAGTCAAGCATGTCTAAAAAGGTGGGTTCACCCTTCTGTAATAAATCATGTGCCTTGTCAGCCCAGGCATTCTGCATTCCAATAGGAAGCAACATTTGTATCTTCAATAGATTTGAAGTGCTATTCAAATCGTTAACATAACCCATCTGGGAAAGTGTCACTTGACACTTTTTCATAGAGCTTACTAGAGCCCACAAACCATCACCATCTCCAGCAGAAATGCGTTTCCTGTCTAGAAGTTCGCTCATAAGCCTATTTAAAATCATATGCGGCTGACCAAATTGCTTGCGCAGTATCTCTAGCGCTGTGTTATAGCCGCCTGATTCTAGAAGTGCACAGCTTTCAATACACATACGTGCCTTGCCTTTACATAACTGTAATAGATATTGTAGCCTAGCATTGTCATCGCTCAACTTTGAGGCTACATTCGTTCTGAAATTGTTAACTAACTGGATCACCATTGAACTCTTCTATGTGAGCCTTTGGCAATTCTAAGGCTAACCTTAAGTCGCTAAATTGATTAGACATAACATGTGAATCATTAGGATTATTTACATTATCGCTAGAACTTGAACTAGATACATCAGTTTTTGTTACACCTTTTTTAGTCAAGAATTTTCTAGCTACATTTCTTGCCTTCCAAAACGCCTCTTGGCATTTCTGTATCCAGTCCTCTTCTGTCTCAAAGGCTTCATCGTCAAGGGATTCACATAGCGCTTGATGTACCAATTCAACATCTCGAAACGCTTCCTCGCACGTCTGCATCAACTCAAAAACGGACTGCACCTCTATCTCGGGATCCTCCAACATTGCCATCAGTTGATTAATGTTGCGCGTCATGAAGGATTTCTTGTTTCGACGCGAGGTCTTCAGTTCCTTTTGCCTTGCTTCCATTTCAGTCGTCATTACTAAATTTATTCACTGTAGTGGTATCTAGCCAGATAACACTGAGGGCGCCAAACTATTACACGCAAAGTAGGATACGAGACGAGTTCCTGTAGTTTGTCAGACTAATTTATTTCGTCACTTCGCACCGACCTGGTGACTGTTAAATGAGTGATTTAAATAGTATTAAACTAAATCATATGATTAATCAAGATAATAAAACAGTAATACTGTAGTGTATTACACAAAATAATAAATTCACACAAAGGAATTACTGTATCTAGATTTAACATCCATCAGCTATACAATACCATAGATTGTATTTATCAGTAAACATTAATTAACTATGTAAGCTTCAAAAATTTAATAACATTCATTGGCTATATTATATATTGAATTTATCTTTAAACATTAGGCCAAAAAAAAAATTGTTTGCTTGCCTTCCTCCACCTGCCCCTAACTCGCTGAAAAAAATAGGGGTGGAAAAACGAAAAAACTTTTAAAAGTTGGTTTTTTTTTTTACTTTTTGCTTTACAAATTAAAAAAAAAATGTGAGTGAATTTATCTTTATTTTTTGGCAGATGCCCTACAAATTAGTCTAAAGTTGTTGTCTGAAGTAAGATATTGCCATTCTAGGCCTCTGTGGGTTATTTTTATTACATCTAATGAGTGTTTAAAATAAATAAATAAATTTAAAAAAAAACTTGTTCTACCCGCCCCTATTTATCATTTTTAAAAAAAGAAGGGCAAACAAACAATTTATTTTATTTGGCCTTATACTGCATAATCATTGTATATGGTATATAGCCACGTATTGTACTGTAATAAGAAATAGGCCTTAAAAATTATCCGACGCACATCACACCTGCGAAGGCACTGTTTGCCCGGCGGTGAAGAAAAGAACTTAGGCCTAGGCTATAAATTAATAGCAGTATTTCACAATATAATCTATAAACTTGCATTTATCAAGCATTAAATCACAACATGGCAAGTCTATGTAACAATATAAAACAATCTGATCATCTTAATATAAGAAAATATAGAAACATACCCATAATATTACAGGATTCAAAAACTCAATGAGTAGCCACACATGTTTTTACCTTCAACCGGTACATGCTACTGAATTTAAAACCCACGCGCAAAGGCGAACAGAGGAAAGCTACCCCATAATGCAACGTACAGAAAACATAAACAAGATAATAAAATCGCAAGAGGGCGCTACATACAAAGTGCGATAATGAGATCGATAACACCAACTATATCTAAAATTTTTGAACGTTTAATTTTTAACCATTTATTTCAACACGTCTTACCCGTTCTCTCCCCTGCTCAGCATGGCTTCATACCAAATAGATCATGTACCACCAACCTTGCAACATTAATTTCTTTTGCATATCAAGCATTTGACAATAAAACACAATGTGATGTCACATACACTGATTTTGCAACGGCCTTTGACACAGTCGACAATAAACTCCTCATTTATAAACTTTCTAATTTTGTTTTACTGGAAATGTTTTAAAGCTTTTGCGCAATTACTTATACAATCGAAAACAAAGGGTTTCAATTGATGGCAGTACATCAGACTGGCTCCCTGTGAGATCAGGTGTCCCGCAGGGAACAATTTTGGGACTTTTATTTTTTACCCTTTTCATCGACTTACCTTCGAATTTCAATTCCCATTGTTTACTCTATGCTGATGATTTGAAATTGATTAGATTAATATCTCATATGCACGATTCACGCCTTTTACAAGATGATCTACATAAACTTAATTCATGGTGCAATACTTGGCATATGGAACTTAGTTTAAGTAAATGTAAAGTTTTAAATATTTGTATTAAAAAGAACAAAATTTTATTTAAATTCTCATTGTGATCTTGGCATAATTATCGACTCTAAGCTTAATTTTAACGAACATATTAAACATTATATATTTTAAAGCTAATAAGATGTTAGGACTCGTCAAGCGAAATTGCTGGCATATTAATAATGTAAATACCCATATCTCTCTGTTTAATTCCTTAGTTCGTAAGTTGAAACTTGTACAGTTATTTTTAACAGCATCAGTTCAACACAAGCCTCTAAAATTGACATTATTCAACACCGCTTCGTTAAATTTGTTTCAAGGGTACGTAATGTTCCAAAAAGTTCTATTAATCTTCCTTCACTTAAAAGTCGACGTAATTTCCTGGATTTAACATTTTTATTTCAATGTGTTAATGGTATCTATGGTAATTACTTAACATCTTTATTTGGTATA